CTTTACTGTCTATAACTGTGTTTCTGAGGCAGTTGGGTAAAATAACGCGATAATCTTCGATTTGTCTGTTTTCCATCAAATGTGAAATTTAATCTAGTTACAGCTTCNAGAGTGGCACTATCTACAGCTTCATGTAGCTGTAACTGTGTTTCTGCTGCAATTGTGTCGTATTAAGCTAAAATCAACATTTGTCGTGCAATTTCTATTAAATGTGCATTTCCAAGTCTGTTCCGTTTGGACAATCCAAAACTAAGTTTGAGTTAATTACGGGATATAAATCGAACCTCGTCACTCTACGTTCGTTTTCTCAAAATGGACAGTTTTAACTACGAATTGGTTCGTGTATCTTAAACTGTAATTCTAAGGCAATTGGGAAAAAAAAAATGCGAAAAACGTCATTAAAGGTCCGTTTCCCATTGAATCTGAAATTCCATCTCTTTACAGCTTTAATCAGCTAAAACTGTAGTCCTGAAGTAATTTGGAGGTGTTAGGGGAACCTTAACTTTTTTCTTGCGCGTATGCTTAAATGTGTAGTTTCAATTGGTAGCTAAAGCTACGTTTGTGAGTCAATTTCGAGCTTTAAAGCGAAGATCGTATTTTTACCTCCTTTACTACTCAAACTGCGCAGTTTCGAGTATTTAACGGTTCGAGTAGGAAAAACTGTATTTAGGAGGTCATTGGGAGGTATACAGCAAAAATAAACATTGCGCGTGGAATTTCTCTAAAATGTCCAGCTACAAATTGTTATAGATTGTAGTGGCTAAAATTGTTTTTAAGGCTATTATGAGGTATTAAAGGGCAAACCCAGATTTCTCCTGCAATTAATCTTAAATCTGCAACTTTAAATTTTGAAAGTTTCTTGTTGCTAAAACTGCGTTTGTGGTCAGTTAGGGGAACGTTTGGTTAAGCTGAACATGTACAATTTAAAGTGAAGAGCGGTTCAAGTAGCAAAAACTGTGTTACTAAGATAATTTTGACTTATAAAGCAAAATTAGACATTCTCCCTCTGTTGTACTCAGCTGTGCATTTTTAAGAATTTACAGCTTAAAGTAGCTTAACTTGTGTTTCTGAGCCAAATGTGGCGAATAAAGCGAAAAACATTTCTCATGCGATTTCTCTCTAATACGCCTTTTTAAATCTCTACAGCTTACAGTGCCTAAAACTGCTTATCTGCGTGAATAAGGGGTTATATCGAAACTTATCATTCTTAGTTGTACATTTTTAACTTCTTACTGGTTAAGCAAGCTAAAATTGGGTTTCTGAGGCAATTTGGAGGCTTGAAGCGAAAATTGACACTATCTGTCGACATGCTATGTAACTTAGCCTGCTTCAAAATGTCAGAACAAGTGGTTACTTTACGGTCGAACTGGACTTTTAGTCATTAAAGATGGATTCATTTGACATCAAACTAAGGCTATTAACATCAAGAAAACATTCTGTAAGGGATAAATCGACTGCATTAAGTGTTAACATCTTCCGAATATTAACCGAGGGGTAGCTGCCCAATTTTACCGAAAGTCACTGTTGAGAGTTGATCGACTGTACTAAAATCGTTTCAATTATCCCGTAAATCAGGAGTCCACAATGTTCTTCATTCATTTGAGGCCAGTAATTATCATATACGTGTCATTTGTTCCGCTAATAACCGGTATTTCAGCCGTTGACATAGTATGTCGAAAGATGGAATGCTGAGACATGGTCGAAAGACGTCACCTATGCACGTAACACTGAGAGCGGGTGTAAGTCCGTTTTCCATCTATCAGTGCAGCTTCAATTAGCTAAAAGGCGTATTTCTGAGGTAATTTGGAGGTATCAGAGGAATATCGACTTTTCTCGTGGAATTACCCTCAAATGTGCTTAAGCTGCGTTTCTCAGGTAATTTGAAGGTTTGAAGTAAAAATCGACACTTGACATCCATTTTCCTGTAATTTGGGGTTTTATGTAATTACAGCTTCAACTAGTGAAACCTGTGTTAGAGTTAATTGGTAAAAATTATTATTTTAAGTCTTTTTTTTGTTTTAGGTAATTGCATGGGGTCCACTAAAATTAAGGATTAATATCACGCGTGTTTTCAGAAGTTGCTGAAATTGCCCAACCGCGCAGCGAAGAGGGCTATTTCAGCTAGTTCTGAAAACAGAAGTGATATTAATCCTTAATTTTACGGGGAGCAATTGCGATTACTTGCTAATGAAATACAGGGAAAAATTAGTGAATTTCTGAATGCGCTCGTTAGTACTCAGTCATAGGGAGCTATTTAATTTTCAAAAAGAATGAATCACCGCAAACGCACGAATGATCTGAAGAAAATATGATTTTTTCACAAAGATACCAGGACATTGACAACCAGGCCTGCTAACAAATTTTCAACTTTGAAATTATAAAGCTAGTGCTTTTCTAAAAAAAGTTAAACTTTGAAGACGCTTTTAGATCACCCAGAATATTATTCGTCGATGTAGATACGCTCGGTATCCTCGCCTTATATCACTCTTGCTCTTCTGAACGCCATCATCCCCGGCGATGTTCAAGGTGACGCTGCAGTGACTGAAATTGTTAACATGGCCGTAAGCACACCAGATGCAGATGCAGATCCAGTAAAATTTGCAGGATAAAGTGAACTTAAAGCGTCTTCTGAAGGAACAGGACCAGTCTTGTCAATGGCTTGTGAAATGATCTGCTGTTCTCGTTCGTCTCCTGAGTCTGTGATATATGTGGCCTGTGATATTATCTATTTCACTCTTCGGGATACCAACATTTTTCAGCTTGTTTAGCATGGTTGTTCGTGCACTTTAATTGGTCTAATTCTTCTCGGAACTCAGGTCCGTCAGCGGTGAATTCTTTTTCATGTTTTTCATGGTTGTGTTTATGGTGTTGTTTCCATTTGGGATTTTCTTGTACGAAACACTTAAAAACCGGTTTGTCGATGACAGTGAGGTAAAACAGGCCGCTTTTCTTAATTTCGCTTCCCCAGATATCGTTTGAACAACATTACGGGACACCTTTCCTTTTTCCTTGTGGCAAACATTTTGGGTGACTAGTCTTGTTTTCACGCTAAGTCCCCCTTGCTTCGTCTAAGTTGGACCTTCGGCAAAATTAGAACTTAGTTTCCTTCTTCAAAGTGAAATCTTTAACTCTCATTTAGTGGTGTTCTTGTCGCACTCGTAGGCCAAAGAGTGGAGTGAGCAGGCACCACATGCTGTTAAGTAGAGCTCGTGGAGTTTCTGCTTCAAGCTGGCCGTTTTGCTAGAGGACTTCCTCTTCTTCTTTTGTGAAACTGCTAGATCGGTTTCGTCGATTTCTTTTGCCCTGTTTTCACAGATTCCTTGCGTTCCCTTCCAGAACTTTTCTGGAGTTAAGAAACTACCTATCTCGGTTAATAGACTTTGGATAGCCTTTTGATTTTCGATATCTCTACAGTGATGCCTGCATTACTTTCAGGCAGTCGGGGTCTTTCCGTAACTCACCGTGAAACTGCGAGAATGTTTGGTTTAGGACATCGGTTTCGTACTCTTCTAAATTTGTTTAGAAGTTTCTTTCATTCGCCCACTTTTTGAAAACGTTCTTGCACTACTGCGTGCCGTTCTTGGTGTTTTCATTTTCGCTCGTGTCTTATAATTCTTTGATATATTCCTCCTCAAGTATCTCGGAACGGGACGCCATTCGTATGAAAATTTTTACTAACTTCTCGATAGCATAAGCTGTTACTAAGCAGCCTGAAAACCAATCGTGAGCGAGTAATTTTGCCCTCTTCACACGGAAAATTAAGAAAAATACTCTTTTCATTGACCAATCAGCATTCAGTAACTTTGCTCTTTATATTACTAGAGCAAACATGTAGTTTCAACTGACCAGAGACTTTACTGTCTATAACTGTGTTTCTGAGGCAGTTGGGTAAAATAACGCGATAATCTTCGATTTGTCTGTTTTCCATCAAATGTGAAATTTAATCTAGTTACAGCTTCGATTAGCTGAAACGGTGTGTCTGAGGTAATTTGGAGGTGTCAGGGAAATATCGACTTTTTTCGTGCAATTACCCTCAAATGTGCAGTTTTAAGTCTTTACAGATTGCGGTTGCTAAAACTGCGTTTCTAAGTCAATTTGGAGGTCTGAAGCGAAAATCGACTCTTTACATTCGTTTTCCGCTAATTTCGTGTATTTATTCATATAGCGGCCCAAAAGCAACAATTTGGATAATAATAGGGGAACTGCTTCCTTTGGCCTTATGTGGGCTCGCAATTGTTCCTTTAGATATTTTTAGCTTTTAGATATTTTTCAAGTTCATGCACTTGAAGCAGTAGGATTTCCTAAAAGTGGCAGTGAGTTTCCACTCTCCACAACGTCCGTTTTCCTTAAATATGGCTTGTTATGAATTCATGGCGTTTAGAACATTTACACTTGTCTTCACTTTGACGTTTGGAGTCGGAATAAGCATGGCTATGCACTACCGTTTTACCATGTCGGTCTTTCCAGACCAAGAAATGCGTGATATCAGTAGCGCTGGCCGAAAGAAGTTATTTTACTATTCTCAGTGGTTTCAGCTCGCACGTATCATAAAAGGAGATGAATAATGCCATTTTGTCGATCTGGCGAAGTGTTGTAGTGCAAAATCGAACTCATGGTATTCCTTACGCTAGAGTTCTCTCTTTTGCCAATCATTAGGTTTCGTCCTGTTTGCCCTAACCAAACAATCCCTTTTTCTCTTCAGAACATTTATTGACAGGACGAGACTGTCGGTGCTCAATCTCAAGTAAGCGTGAGAGAGAGAACGGTCTGAATAAGCACTAAGTTGGGAGCTCTCAATCATTGCAGTCAATTACATTTTTCTTCCTTGTTTTGGCTTTTTTTACACATTCGGACATGATGCCAGATTATTTCCACTTATTTTATCTTTCAAAATTAAATTTTTCTCATAACTGTTACAAATTTTCGATGTTCGGGGACATTCATGTTCCTGGTTTTATTGGCGGGGACAGTAACCAGTAACAAGAAAACTAAAACCAATACATTTTTGGCCAGTTTTATTTCCTGTCTTTACTTTTATAGTACATCCTTCCACACATCTTCCCAAATAAATCTTACGGAATTGAAATCATAAAGTTTTAAATAGTCTATCGTTAACTGACAATTAACAGACTGTATACCTCAACACCGTTGAAATTACAAATCATGCAGATCCCTAAATTTTTTAAAAAGAAAGTTACCCATAAAATTAAAACTGTCAATATGCAAACCTCAATATCGTTTGTATTTCACCAATGTTACATATAACTAAAATTATCTATGTAAGGCAGAACGCCAAAAGATGCCAACTAAACAATTATATATTGAATTCGGTCAGGAAAAACCTCGCATGTTCAAAATTTTAATTCTTGTGTACTCAAATATTTAGTGCCCTTTTTAAAACAATCCATGGTTAGTAAACGGCAAAAACTGCAAAGTTCTTCCAAAGACGATTGCTATACTCAATTTACGCTTCTCCAATAACAGCTAGTGGAACACCACGACTTGGTTTGTAAGGGCCCATTCTTGGGACCATCTTGATGCAGTCTAGAGAAAAGTAAGAAAAATGACAACCTGTGATATCTATTGTCAACCACAAAATTAATTACGTAAAAAATAGAACACATGTACCGTGTTTCTATCGAGTTTTAGTATAAACTTACTACCGTTCTATCACGCATGCCGTTCTCTAATTGGCTACGCTACTCACCATCTATTCTGCGATGGATAGTGAGTAGCGCAGCAGTGTGCCCTTGTTAAAGAAATGACGGCTGCTTCTCGGCCTTTTCGAAGTGTCTGTAATTTAGGTAAAGGATAAGGTAAAGGATTTAGATAAAGTTTTGAACGACTAGTAGATTCATACTAAAACAATTATACTATTCGCTCTCCATTTCTATGCGTGATAGATACGCCCTCGTCAACTTTTACGCGATAGAAATCTAGAGCTCGTGATCTAATTGTGGTGTAATCTAATCTAACACAACCATTTCACTTTGATTATTAAAATTTAAAGTCTCTTTTCTCCCGCTATCATTACATCAACAGTTTTGAGCTAGTTCTGTGTTTCTATCCAGTTTTAGTACAAACCTACTATCACTCTATCACGAATGCCGTTCGTTGATTGACTACGCTACACATTATCTATTCTGTGAGAAATAGTGAGTCACGTAGAATTGTGCACTTGTTAACAAAATGACGGCCACTTCTTGGCGTTTTCGAAGTGTCTGTGAAGAGGATTTAGATATAGTTTTTGACGACTGGTAGATTTAAAACAATTAGATTATCCGCTCTCGCTTTCCATGCGTGTTAGAAAATCTCAAGTTCATAATCTAATTATTTAATAAAAACAAGATTTTTAACCATTCAGCGGGCGTATTTTCTTAGGACTGTGTTTTAACCATGAATACTAACAATCCTTTTAACACTACCCTTAGAGGCTCACCATATGAGTAGTGTGGATTTCTTGAGGTAATTTATATCCACTCAAGCAATAGGTTGCTAACATAATGATGACAATTAAAAATAGAATTATAATATGGACCTTTCCAGCATCCTTTGCAGCTGAAAAATGTGCATATCACATAGCTTTGTCAGAGATTATCACATTATGAGAAAAATAACTCTTACCATGAAATATAATTTCCGCAAACTTAGTGTGATGACATCACTAGTCAAGTAAAAGTGTTTTTATCCCAGTGTGAAGACAGGCATTGCATAACTAGAAAGTACTTCACATATTTCAAAGGGGTATGTTAAAGAACATTTAGAATTGGCCACAAGAGTGCTGCTGTCTGTCAATCAAGGGGACTATTCGTATGAGCGAAAAAAATTGGGGACTAGGTCAAGGGGTATGTCTCTTCTTTGCTGGAAAATACAGCAACTGAAACTTGCGTCTTACTAAATATTTTAATGAAGATACACTATGTATAACGTTATGGATGTGACGTTACTGCTAACATGATTCATAACGATAAAAGGACTGAGTGGAGTACAACTCGGTCTGTAATCATACAAGTCATTAACAAAATCGGACCACCGCAAAGCGGGAGTCCGATTTGTTAATCACGAGTATGACTACAGACTGAATTGGACGACACGATGTCCTGTTACCAATTAACGAAAACTAGGAGAAAATTCGAGAAACAAACAAACCATCGATTGAGCGCTAAACGATTAAACGTCGTTATGAATGTTGAAAAAACAGCAGTTTATTCAACAAAGTGCATCGCAACAGCGCGCGCAAAATGACGCCTACTGTCCAATTACAAGCATGACGCGTATAAACTGTCCAATTAATGCTCAAAAATCGCGCTGCTGATAGCCAATCACGTTCGGGAATTTTCGTATAGTTTTAATTAGAAAAAGATAACTAAAAACAAACGCGGAATACATCAGAAGACGTTAAAACTACATTACTCCTCATGAATGAAGGATTTCTTGAGCCAAATTGTAGATTTTTAAATACAATTTTGAAAAGAGCCACTTTTATTTTTTCCTAAAAAGGACTCCCGGCGAAACTTGCAGTTGAAGAGTTTGATTGCTATCTATTTAACGACTTTTTAGGTTAGAAAAAACATGAAACTTTTGAGTTTTTCCGTAACCGCGTGCGAGGAAGGATGTCGCTGTGCTTTGGGATTATGCAAGTGCGCCTTTCTCGGAAAGCAAACGAGTTCTGAACCTATCTGTTTAAATGGAGAGCGAGAAGCATAAAGAATAACGTGAACGTCGTTGTAAAACACGGAAAGGGAGTACTGGCTCTGTAGAAAACGACTAAGAAGGCGGAGATGTCGTATCTGTCAGCCATTGTCCCTGGTGCCAAAACACTTCATTGCAACTTACTGAGCTGTCAGAAAAGCTTAACCTAATATTATCGCTTATTCCCGCTATCCAGAAAGATGTCACGGAGCTTCGAAAGGATTTATCGGAGCTAAAAGAAAGCTTTTTCAGTCTGTACAACCAGTTGGAAGTGCTTCGCGACGAAATAAACTCCGTGAGCCAACGTGTTGAAGCTACCGAGAGTACCATACAACAGTTACAAAAGTCCCACGACCAGCAGCTTTTGCGGAATGTTAGGCTAGAAGCTAGATCTAGAAGAGACAATGTGAAATTCTTCCGCCTCCCTGAAGCCCGTTAGGCAACCGATCATGAAAGAAGATACGGAAGACGTCTTGCGCTCTTTTATCGTTAACAACCTGAAAATGCCAAAAGAAGTGGTCGAAGAGATTTCCTTCGAACGAGTTCACCTCATCCCGACAAAACGAGCAGATAAGACCTCAAACGCTCCGAGGCCAATAATCGCAAAGTTCTCTTTCTTCCAGCACATAGAGGAGATCTGGAGATACGTGAGAAACCTCAAAGGCACCAATTTTCCTGTGGCAAATCATTACCCAAAGTCGACGAAATACGGAAAGCGGTTTACCCAGTGTATAAGAACTCGAGGAAGAAGAATCAGAAAGCAACTCTTTATGTAGACCGTCTTATTATACAAGGCAGCGTGGTGACGACACAAAAAAATTTACATTGTACGCCAAAATTTTGCTTCCCACCGAATGAAGTTTTTGACTCTCTGCTAATAAGTGAACACGAATTGGTTTCCCTCTAATGTCTCGCGTTGGAAACCTGTGCTCGTGATACGTAGCAAGTATAGTTTCTAATTATTATTTATAGGTAATTTTATCTTTATTTGTCAAGTTATGTCTGTATGTTCCGTAAACTCATAACATTTATACTACCACCTAAAACCTCAATTATACTTCAAATTCTATCTACGTTTCTGGCCCTTGCACGTACGATTATTACATTATACTTTCAAACGCTTATACAAGACCTTTTACCTTTTCTTGAGCGGTCAAACCCACAAACGGTAAACTTCTGATTCTCCAAGTAAATTTTTTTCGAATTTATTTAAATGACTTTTAACATTATGACTCTAAATGTCAGAGGGTTAAACAAAACCTCGAAAAGACAGATTTTCAGATGGTTACATCAACGAAAGCCTTACATTTTGTTCTAACATTAAACAAACCAGCGAACATCTCTTTGTTAATTGTCCGCTAGAAGTGTCTTTTTGGTCAGAATTTACTGCTATTCATCTCTTTGGAAGAAAAAAACCATCCTCTCCAAATATGAAATAATGTATGGTGTTTTAAATTCATTTTGTTTAATCATAACCCACCGTATTCTTATTGGCAAATACTTTCGTTACATTTTGGTCCCTTAATAGTAGGAGATACCTATTTGTGGATTCCACCACCCTTGAGCAGGAAAAATTAGAGCATAAAAAATATATCGCAATCTCAGTCAACAAATACAGTTCCTTCCTCAAGAAATGGTCTTGCTTTGTTCAAAAATAACTTGTCTCAAATAATTCTAATCTGGTCATAAAGGCCCATAAAAGAAGAAGTTTTGGTCCAAAAACATCTATAACGTTACCTTTTCCTGTATTAAAAGAACAGGAAAAGAAAACCCGCAGGGCTCCCCACCTCACCTTTATTTTTTGACTTTCTCCCTTTTTGTTTTGTTCGTTTGTTTCTCCTCCTTTTTTTCTATTAGTATTAAGTAATTCCGTAAGTTCAATCAGCGCTGTTGTAAGAAATTTTTAGCGTTTCTTCGTTAGTAGTAATTGAAAAGTAAGCAAGCAGTCTAGCATAATAAAGAGCACTGTAGAAAAATAAAATGTAGCGTGTGTGTAACTTATATGTTTATGTAACTAATCTATAATAAAAAGAGCATTGTAATTAAGCCAACCGTAATTTGATTAGTGTGATTGTATTGTAATATATGTACTGTAACCAGTGCATGTATAAATAGTGTGAGTATAGGTAGTGTAAAAAGCAAGTACAGTCTAAGTGTAAATGTAAGTATTTTAGTACTGCAAGTGTTCGTCCTGTAAATAAAATTGCATTAATTGGAAAAAACAAAAACAAAAACAAAAAACGAAACTTTGGGGGTTCAAAACCTCGAGCAGTCGCTAAAAACTACCCGCTTTATCGGGGTTCAAATTCGAATTTTGCCGATGAATAATGCTTAAGACTTTCCTTCAAACAGAAATTCGGCACCCAAATGGAGCTTAAACTTTTCGACGGTTGGCACATGTGACACATGTAAAAACGTCACGTACCGAATCGAAGGGAAACCATTGGATCAGTCTCTTGGATCTTTGAATTCTGAGGTAACTTAAGTAAACTTGGAAAATATTATTTTCCAAGTTCTAGTGGTGGAACGATTTCACTTCTTCACCTCCCGCTAGACATTTGGAAACCCCGTGGGGAGGGAATCCCATACGAAAAGGTAAGGGATGCTCCTTGGAAAATATGAATTTAACTCCTAAGCGAGACTAATGTGGATGTTGCTTGAACTTCATTGGACTCCTAAAAGATATCACTTAAAACGGAATAGGTTCGATCACTAGCCACTATTCAAAGTCAATGTGAATTGGTAATAAATGCCCTAGGGATGAATAAATGATATCCAAATATTCATACAAAAAGGCAAACGAGACCTCCCCCCATTGTGCACTCTACTCTACTACTCTAGTTCGCGGCAGC